TGATATAAACGGGAATCACCCACGAGCTCTCCCACGAGCCGTCCCAGCGCAGCGCAGGGGAAAGATTTTACTCTATGGCTTTGTTCTAAGCAGCGGGGGCATCCCGGGGCTCGACATTCGCAGGGTAGTGACGCTGGGTGTAACTAAAAAGATAATCTTATTAACTGTTTATCTCCTGAACTGCAACTTTCTTTACTGCGCTATTCAGCGCCAATCCCGCCGTGCAGTCAATTTAACTGGTTAAGGTCAGGGTCAGGTGTGGGGTAGGTTTAGGGGTTAGCATTTTTTGTAGCATAATGTAGGAAATCAACACTTTAATTGACACAACCAATAAAATCTTTAGAATCAGCTGTGGGGCGGAGTTTGCACTGAAGTGGATTGGGGGAAAATTGCGCATGCGTGCCATGTGCCCGTCTGTCAATGGGAGGAAGCCACACCCTATTTTGGAGCTCCCACCCCGTTTTGGAGTTCCCGTCCCCATTTGGAGATCTCCGGGCTGCAGTTATACCCTTCTCAAAGGAGGGGGCTTTGTTGAAAACAAGGTGTTTGAGAGAGGCGGGGCATAGAGGACCTACAATAATGTACAGTATTTGAAAAATAATGTTTTTTGAACATTAAAGCATGTCAACATATTCTGTTATACCAAATACACAAAATAATGATCTTTAAAATAGCATCATATGACCCCTTTAAAGATTTGTTCAAAATGAACTAAAAATGCCGTTTCACTTACCGTCTGGCGTCTGCAGTTCTGAATCATGACCGGGATCTTCAGCGTCGAACTGGGCCTTGTTTATAAAACGTTCCTCAACAAACACACTTGTGAAACTCCTTTGCTGCTCCGGAAAAACACACTATCCACTGTTTACATAACGCTGGGTTCTTTAGACAGAAATACTCTGTCATAAGTCCAAATTGTTTTTTGAAACTTTGTCCATGCTTAGCATGAGAACAGTGTAAACAACTCTGAATGCATGAAACAGCATTGTACAAACCCTTTAATCACAATGCATTTACTTGAGATGCAAATTTAACATATGTGACCCTGGAGCACAAAACCGGTTGCAAGTCGCTGGGGTATATTTGTAGCAATAGCCAACAATACATTTCATGGGTCAAAATGATCGATTTTTCTTTTATGCCAAAAATCATTAGGATATTAAGTAAAGATCATGTTCCATGAAGATTTTTAGTAATTTTCCTACCGTAAATATATCAAAACTTAATTTTTGATTAGTAATAGTCATTGCTGGACTTAATTTGGACAACTTTAAAGACGATTTTCTCAATATTTAGATATTTTTGCACCCTCAGATTCCAGATTTTCAAATAGTTGTATCTCGGCCAAATATTGTCCTATTCAGATGATGTATAAATCTCAATTTAAAAAAATTTACTCTTATGACTGGTTTTGTGGTCCAGGGTCACATATGATGTCTTGTTTTCTGAGGAATATAACAAAATAAAGTGAGTTTTTTTAAAACAAAAACAAATATCTGTCAGTAGGGAATTAAAAGTTGTTTTCCTTTTGAATTGGTTTGATTTTTCCGAATTTTTAATCTAAACATATGTTTGCAGGTATGATTAACCTCAATCGTCACAAAACACATCAGAGACAATGTTGTTATTGTTAAAAACTATTAAAAATCGATTTATCATTTTGTTCATTAAAATAAACCCGAGATCAAATATAAATATTAGATGAAAAACCACCCCCAGAAATATTGCAACTGAAATAAAATAGTTTACGCTGAAGTAAAATTACAAATACAGAAATAAAAATAAATAGAAATAACAAAAAATCCAAAATTATAAAAATGGCAAAAACATGTTAAAAAATGACTACAACTTAAACTAAAATGAAAATGTAAAAATAAAACAAACTCAAAATATTAATAATAGCATATAAATAAAACACTGATCAAAAAGCATTTTTCTGTATAATATATACTAAACACCTCATTATTAAAAACACTTGACCCTGCCATTGAAAATGAAAATTTGCATAAATATGCCTTAAATATGTGTGCTGTACCATTCATTTCAACATTTACTTTGAAAATAAAATACTGCATATGAAAAAAAATAAAAAAATAAATCAGCAGACATTCAGTCTTGATGAGATGATGGTCATTCACGGTAAGACGCACTTCTAGAAAGAGGACAAAGGCAGAAGACAGAGATATCTGAGGGCACATGTTGAGAAAATAAACAACAGGAGACAGACACTAAACTATTAGAGAAACGCTGCGCTTCACTACTTAAAAAGAGTAATAAAAAAGCAATAAAGTCATCTTCAGTGGCGTCCGATCTACCTGTAATACAGGTACACGGCCCATCCAATCAGCACCACAGGAAACAGGAAGTAAGATGTGAGCTGTATTCCCAGAATCCCCCATGACAACACTCCATTCACCAGCACAGAAGAGGAGATGACGAACAGCCGCGTGATTCCCGTTCCGTGTTTCATGATGACAGACATGAGGAGCCCGTTAGCAGCCTGTCCCGCGATAATGAGCCAAACGAGGGCAGAGAAACCCTCAAAAAACCCCTGCTGCCCGCCGCCAGAGAGATGCGACGCCAGATTGATTCCCACGCCGAAGACGTACAAGAACAAGTTCTGAAGACTCAAAGGCAGACGCTGGGTTTTCAGCACCCGTTCGGTGTAAACGGCGGCCAAACCTGAGATGAAACAGTAGACAAGCACCAACAGCAGACCCCAGGACGTGATGCGGAGCCTGACGGCGGATTCGTCTGACGCTTCCCAATCCAAACCGGAGTAGTTGTGACAAACACCGGCAGCCACGAGCATCCCCAGAGCGAGCCACTGCCCCAGTCGCAGCCGCTTTCCCAAGCAGGCCGTGTAGAGGAGCGCGGTGGACGCGATTTTTAGGTTACTGAGCACTTGGAAGGAGCTGGGATCCATGTAGGCTTGCATGAACACCACTAGGTTGTTGTTGAAAGCGTAGAGAAGCGCAGGAACAGCGTACGGCGCCACCGTCCACGCTGATATTTTGAGGCCGGATAGATTTCCAGATGCCACCAGAGCCGCGAAGGAAAGCACGAGCTTGATGAACTCGATCAGAAGCACACATGACGACGGGCTGAAGGGAACGCGGCCGTCAACTATGGTGAGGGAGATGAGAGGAGCGTGGGAACCGTAAATAAGGACCAGGAGAAGCAGGAGACAAAGCCAGCGTCTTCTGAGAGGAGGTTCTGCTTCAGACGAACCAACATTATCTATCACAATCATGCTCAGCGTCTGTCAGCCACAGCTGCTTCTGAAAGTACAGGAAGACGTTCCACAAAAGACTGAAACAAATGCAATTCTTCAACGGTGCAGTATTAAACAAAACGGGCATGATACATGAGCTGCACGATTTGGGGGAATTTCTTTCGCATGATTTGGGGCTAAAAATCTGATAAGAATTTTAATAAAAATTTTGATTGAAATGATTCATTTTTATTTTTTTGAGGTTTGCTGTGCTAGTTTGTAGGACTGCACAATTTGGCCAAAGATTTTGTGATTATATATCCATATGATTATAAAATAATAGCAGCAACATTTTTACTATACTACTAAATAAAAAAAAAATGAAATAAAAATATTACTATTGTAATTTCACTGTAAAATAAAAAATGAGAATTCAAGAAAAAATATAAAATATTAAAATATTAGTAATATTAAACAAATATCATAATACAGTGTAATAATTTTACAGTACAGCTATGAAATTATTATTTTTTTTACAAAATTGTTATTACTACTAAATAAAAATATTAAAATAAAAACTACTACTGTAATATTTAACTGTAAAATAAAAAACAAGTATTCAAGAAAAATTATATTTCAAAATAATAATATGTTGCAGTACAACAGCTGTAAATGACAATTTGTACGAAATTATTTTAATTACTAATCCTTAAATAAACAAGAATTTCACTGTAAAATAAAAAATGAGAATTCAAGAAAAAATATCAAAATAATATTAGCAATATTAAACAAATATTATAATACAGTGTGTAATAATTTTACAGTACAGCTGTAAACGACAATTTGTACGAAATTATTTTAATTACTAATACTTAAACAAGAATTTCACTGTAATATAAAAAACTAAATTAAAAAATAACAAAATATAACATTAACTGTAAAATTACAATACTAATATTTATGTCTTGCCTTAAATTCTTCATTTTCAAGTGTTAAACTGACGTGTAACTGAACACAGTGCCACGCTTCCCTATGAAACACGCATCGCATATATTTATTTAATTAGATAGCTTTTACAATTGGATTAACAAACTAAGCTATATTGTGATTTTGATTTGGATTAATTGTGCAGCCCTACATGATGCCCATTTTTTATCATAACTGTTCAAAATCCACACTCACATATAGACCTCAATCCACAGTTTTATCTAATTTAACAGTTTTGTTCAGGAGGGAAGGAGCTCCGATTTGACGCTGAATGACACAAAAGCAAGCAGCAATGGTGCATGTTTTCCTCTTCAGTCTGAACTGGGTTGCTAGCGAACTGTTAATCACTCGGTCCTTTCTTCAGAAAGTTCAGGAAGTCTCGTAGGCTTGTCTCGATGTTGGGCACTCCGGGGACGGCAAGGGGGTGTTAGAGGGTCCTTGATCAATTTGGGTAATTTATTTTTTATTAGTTTTTTACAAAATGCACATGATATTATGTATTTTTTATTCACAAAATTATATTTTTTATATAATTAAAAATATAATCACAATAATTCATAAAATAAAACAATAATCACAATCATTTTGCTTTCTAAAGAAAAATCATGGCATTAACTGCAACAATTTTATATAATTGAGATTTTCTTCATTTTTTTCATCTAAATATTTTTCTAAAATAAAATATTTGTGGGGAAAAATAAGTTCATCTTTTGTTATAATTATTTAATTTTGTTGTCATAATTAGGATTATTACAGTTAACTAAAACCATGAAAAAACATTTGTTACTTATAATAAACTAACTGAAATCAAAAATGATTTATTTTTGGCAAGGCAACATTTTTCATTTACTTCATACTTATGTACTAAAATAACAACTACTAATTCAGAAAACTAATAAATAAAACTGAAACTGGAATAAACATTTAATAAAACATATATAAACAAAATTAAATAATACCTTTATAAACAAAAATAAAATAAAAATGCCAAAAACCCACAACAAAGTTAAAAAAATTTTTTTACTACAATTAAAACAAAAAAAATAAATAAATAGATGAAAATACAAACTAATTAAAAAATATTGATAAAACTATATAGATGTAAAGGAAAGAAAACTAATAAAAATGCCAAAAACAGACTAAAAATGTAATTTGAACATATTAAAAACTAATAAAAATTATAATAGTATCTTATTACTAAAATAACACTGGTCATAATAATAAATATAATATTACCCTCAGTATAAACAGATTTTATACATAAACATATACAGCTAACTTTATATTTATCAATGGGGTCCCTCACAAGGGGACTATCTTATTACAAAACAAAACTAATGATCAGTATAGCACCACACTTTATGTGTGTGTTCTTTAGTAATAGTTGGGACCGGACCGATCCGGATCAGTCGTGGTTCTGGTTCTGTTGTACCGGAGGAACTCCAGCTTGAACCTCATTCTCCACCTTCCTCTGGATCTCCTCCAGTTGGTCTTTGAGCTCAGCCAGATCCTTCAGTCGAGTCAGCGGATCCTGAATTAGACAACACAGACAGATGAACAACAGAGATCTGTTTAACTCCATGTCAAGGCACGTTCAGTCTGGTTAATGAGATCGTTTGTCTAATGTTTTGTTTTCTATGAGACCTCTCAAATGCCAAGAGTTCAGAAACACTCAGTGACTTTGCATAACTCGAATAAACCGTAACAACAGCGCTAATTAACAAACAGCTGTTCGTATGGATAGCACAGCGCTTAAATACATGACATACCCGGTTTTGTTCTTATTTGTACGGTAATTCATTACAAACAGACAGACTGTCTCTCACCGTGTCCTCCGCCATACTGCAGAAATGACAAACGATTCATTCTGAGCTCGACTCATCTGGTCTGAATCATGACGACTCGCTCGAACACCACAAATCACGCCTGATTGTTCGTGCCTCACTTGAATATATATTTCTCTTATTTTAATATATTTTCATTAGAATTAACAATGCAACCAAAAAAAAAAAAATACAGAAACGACTGTTCAGTCTTACTTGTGAAAGATAATACCCCGAGATCTGTTTTTATTATTGTGCGACGGTTTGTAGACGCCCAAGCTGCCGACGAGTCAGGTATGTTTTCGCTGGTCCCGATATGAGAGTTGCCTTCACCAATATGGCGGCGACGTTGACGTGCGGTCGAGAGTCCAATGAGGCGTCTAGGTATTTATATTATGTCTATGGTGTGGAGGTGATGCTCTTCTGACTCGGGGATCCATTATGAGCAGGTTTACTCAACTTTGAAAATAAATCTGCATTGTTTATCCATTTGATCTTTCATTCAAAAATTCACAAAAATTTAACCTTTCATTGAAGTAAAACAATTGAAAATAGAGGGAAAATCTTGTTATGAAATAAATGTTTTTCTCTAATACACTTTGGTCACAGTTATTGGCAGCCTTTTATCCTGTATTTTTTGCCAAGATAACAGCCCTGAGTTTTTTCCTGTAATGACTGATGAGTTTGGAGAACATCTGATAAGAGATCAGAGACCATTCCTTCATCCAGCATCTCTCCAGATCCTTCAGAATCACAGCTTCATGTTGGTGCTCCTTCTCTTCAGTTCACCACGCTCATTTTCTATAGGGATCAGGTCAGGGAACTGGAAGAACCAGTGTACCATTTTTGCTCAGTGACCCATTTTTATGTAGATTTTTTTTTTCTCCTGATGCAAGATCCAACCACTGCCAAGGGTGCCAAAAATTCTGACCATGACTATATATATATATTTTTATTATTATTTTTTTTATTTATTTTTTTTATTTTTTTTTTTTATTCATTAGATTTTGTATTGATTTTTTATTATTTTAATTGTATATTTTTTTTTTTTTATTATTATTTTTTTTTTAATTCATTAGATTTTGTATTGATTTTTTATTATTTTAATTGCATTTTTCCTGTTTTTATATTATTATTTATTTACTTTTTGTTATTTTTATTTCATTTTTTTGTTTATTTTTATTTGATATTTTTATTTTTGTCAGTTATTTTATTTTTATTGTTTCTTTTTATTCCGTTTAATATTTTTATTTATATGTATATATTTTTTGTTTTATAGACCTTTTTCCTGAGTAAACAATGAGCGCCGCCATTACGAATTCTAACTTCTGATTGGATGCTCTTCTGTTCCCGTCTCTATAGGAACCCATTCAAATAGTGCCCATCTGTTTTTAATGTAGCGAACATCGGCAGCTTCGTATCAGCTACACACTCATTAAACTTTGAGGAGTGAGGCACTGACAAACGACAGTCATTGCGACACTGTAAAGTGATGGCGCTATAGAGCCATATGCTTTTTAAAAAACATTTTAATAGGTTCAACATTAGATTATCAACTCGGAATATACACTAATTTGACTAGAAACACTGGAGATCGGAAATGCAAAGCATCCTTCCGGTTAAGAGTCAGGCATGACTTCTGCATTCAGGAAAAACGAATATATTTTATTTTTTATTTAAAAAAAAAAAATATATATATATATTTTTTTTAGAGATGATGTGGAGACAAACAGAAACTACGAGGTTGTTTCAGATCCTGTAAGCACTTTGGATGATGGGAATAATTCATGGAAAATAAACTGTCGTCATTTATTCACCCAAAATGATTTTTTAAGCATTTTTATGCAGCTTTTTTCAATCCATGAACACATGTGTTGTATGATTTCAGAAGTACTGGAATATGGCACACATTTACTGTTATGAAACAAACAAACAAAAAATTATTTAAAAGATTTACAGTCAGGTCCATATATATATTTGGACACAATTTTCATAATTTCGGCTCTGTACGCCACCAGAATAGAATTAAAATGAAACAATTAAGATGAAATTAAAGTGCAGACTTTAAGCTTTAATTCAAGGGGTTTAACAAAAATATAACATAAAATGCGTAGGAATGACTGCATGTTGTGGGTTCACAGCAACAGCTTCCAAATGCAAATGGCACACTTAGAATCAACTCCAGACCTTTGACCTGCTTAATTGATGTGGAAATAATGAAGGAATAGCCCACAACTGTCCATGAAACAGTTTTTCAGTCGACTGTCCAATTACTTATGGTCCCTTGAAAAAGGGGTAGGTTCATATTAAAGAGCTGTAATTCCTTAACCTTTCCTCCAATTTTGATGAGAATATCCTCAAATTAAAGCTCAGAGTGTGCACTTTAAGCCCATATCCATTATATAACTGTAACTTGAATATGTTTTGGTCAGCAGCTAAAATAATACACATTTTGCCTGTGTCCAAATATATATGGACCTGACTGTATTTGAATTGCACATAAAATCGCCATCGATTTTTAACATAAACTGAATGCGATGCATATAAATGCAATTTAATCGTTTTCACGGTAAACAGATTGTTGCTGATTCCTAGCAATTTGAATAAATGCATTTTCAAAATATGATTATTTAAATCAAATCAAATAGATACAAATAGGTAATAATGAAAACCATGCCATGATTTTTTGAGTGGCCGGTTTCATTGCTGTATGACTGACAAATATGCATCAGATAAAGATTATTAGTTTATATTAAATCCGTGTAATCCAAATGCATGGAAATTTTATATAATACATAAATCTTACATTTTGTTCTAAAACAGTTTGTTGTGCTTTTTGGAGCTCTAAACCTATTTAAATCACCATTCACTTTCATTATATGGAAAAGAGCAGGGTGAACATCTACTTTTGTACAGGTTTGTAATGACATTAGAGTGAGTAAATGATGCCTGCAGATTCATGTTGCTTGAAAAATAACTAACCTTGTGTGTCTCTGACATTATATCTTAATCTGACATGTTTATGATGGTAAATAACAAGCATATTATTGCCCACAGAAACGTGAAACCCACTACAAGTGGAAAACCGACAGTATTTATTTTAATTTAATATTTTGATGGCTTTTTCATGCATAGAAAGACGTTTAAGTGTTTATTCTGAGATATCCGTTTCATAACACATAATGTGCTCAGGGGTGAACATCTACTTTTGTACAGGTTTGTAATGACATTAGAGTGAGTAAATGATGCCTGCAGATTCATGTTGCTTGAAAAATAACTAACCTTGTGTGTCTCTGACATTATATCTTAATCTGACATGTTTATGATGGTAAATAACAAGCATATTATTGCCCACAGCAACGTGAAACCCACTACAAGTGGAAAACCGACAGTATTTATTTTAATTTCATATTTTGATGGCTTTTCATGCATAGAAAGACGTTTAAGTGT